ATGTTGCCCCTGATTGGTTAATCACCTTGTCAAATATTCTTATGACGAAATAGACATCTATTTTTTTACGCTTTCATAAGTGAACTGAATGACTTAGGGGGAATAAGGTTCCACACTGTAGTAAATTACAGCACGTATAAAATAGCAACACATTTTTTCAGTTACCAATAATCATTTGAAATATTAAGTAGATTTATGATTTTTTGTTTTATTGGATTAAATTTACGGTAGTAGTAATGCGTATCTGTCGGGAAAGTAATTGGTAAGTAGATAACGTTGAAAAAAGATTTAGGGAGCTGGATAAACCCGAGAATATGCGTAATTATAGGGGGAATGGCCAACCTGTTGCTGTTGGTCAAACCAGTTTTGAGAAATGATAATTTATGTCGCGGCGTCTTCAATAAAATAATTAAATTAATTAATTACAGCAATTCAGTTCCATATGGATGTTTTCATAAGTAATATATAATGTACGCAATAAAATAAATAAGTTCTTCATCAAGATATATTTCAGTTGTACCAGCGTATACACCTATACCGGAAGTGGGTATAACACGTCACAATCTCGGTCTCGTCTGTCTCGCGAGAATGACATAACGCCAAAATGGCGGCGCCCATGAACTTATTTCTCAAGTAAAAAATAGTGTCTTAAAACACGAATTTCTCTCTTATAGGGTTGATGTCAATAGGAAAACTGTCATGATTCCTCTTTTTAAATGATGAATATTTATATTAGACAGACATCAATCCATCCATTCCTATTCCTTTAAGCGCTTTGCCGTTTGCTGCAGTTTCACTGTATTAAGCAAATACCGGGTTGCGTTATAGCTCCCCCCAAAGGTAATAACATATATGAATATATTTTAATGTGAGTACGAGGGTTGTCCAAAAAATTCGTGCACTGCAGTTATTGTCGTGAGAGTTATTAATTAAAACAAATGAATTATATATCACTTGAAAGAGAAATCTGTCTCAAATATGAAAACAAAAGAAAAAGCCGAGTAACCGGCGTGCCGTGTAAAAGAATGGTCATTGAGTTACCTTAGTAACGTAATACCGGCGCAAGACAAAAAAATGGGTTAGTTCATTACTGTAATTGTATTGTTTTGTTGCTTGTATATATAAAGTGGTATTTGCTTTCTATGTTAGCAGTTTGTTTTACTGTCAATAGAGGAATGATTGATGAAAAGTATTGTGTAGTTTTTATTTTTTTTATGCAACGTACATGTAAGCATAATCCCATCAGTGCAGGAATATATTTGACAACCCTCGTCACATGCGCCGGCATTACGGACGGACGTCTGCCTGACTGGTTGTCATCGTCTACCGACGCTCTCTTTCTCTTCCACAGAGCGTTTGTACCATTTAAAAACCAGCCTTCGTGACACTGAACTTGTCCCGCTTGCCCTTTTAAGTTCTTTGTAGGTATCTGTTGGTGATTTACCAATATTTGCACCAAATTTAATGATCGTCCGTATTTCCAGACGTTTAGCGACTGACATTTTCACGTAATTACAGTATTGACGACCGCACACAAAAATGGACCAAAAGAAGATCCAAATAATTATAGACCTATTTAAATTTTGTCAACCATATCAAAAAATTTTGAAAAGCATATTGCATCACAATTACACAGTTATATATACGAAACTAATATTATTCATGAAAGTCAGTCGGGTTTCAGAAAAAAACATTCTTGTCAAACAGCTCTAATACGATTCATAGAATCCTTCCTTAACGATTTAGATGAAGGCTGTTTGATAGGCACAGTATTTTTAGACCTAAAGAAGGCATTTGATTTGGTAGATCACAACATATTGTTGCATAAGTTAAAATTGTACAAATTTTCAAACACCTCAATTAAACTCTTCAAATCATATCTTGAAAATAGAACACAGTTTATCAAATATGGAAATAGTCATTCAAATAGTGGAACAGTGAAATCAGGGGTCCCTCAATGGTCTATATTAGGCCCTTTACTTTTCATTTTCTACGTTTATGATATGCCATTTAGTACAACACACTCTAACATAGACATGTATGCTGACGATACAACTATGCATGCATCAAATAAAAAAATTGAAGTGATTCAGAGAACTCTGCAATGTGATGTTGATAATACAGTAAAAACCCTCAATTAAGACCACCATTGGGACTGGACCAAAGTGGTCTTAATTGCGGGGTGGTCTTAATTGTGGATATTCTTATCATTGCTTACGCACGTTATGACCAGGGCCTATTTTAGTCATTTTGTAAAAACAAACAATATGTATCTTAACCTGCAAATACAACATTTATAAAAGTATGTTATTATATTACCTCTGATGGGAAGAAAACATATTTCTGATGAAATTTAATATCAAATTTTCTTTGTTCTGATTTCAATAGTAATTATTTTTATGATGTACATAATTCCCATATATCATATCAGACATTATTTCTTCACAAAACAAATGTTCATAAAGCAACATTAAACCACTATGAAATAAACTTTCTCACCTTTTTTCATTAAATATACCATAACTAACGGATTTTGACACCTTGTGTAATCAAGTGTCATGCCTAAGAGCAAGCAAGCAGATAATAACAACATAACTACACATTTAAGATCTAGGAAGGTGTTGATTTTAATATCAGTGGTCTCAATAGTGAGGTCAAATAAAGAACAAAATAATGAATTGGGACTGAATTTGGTGGTCTTAAAAGTGGATAAGTGAGGTGGTCTTAATTCTGGATCATGTAACCATTGACATAAAGAACAGAAAATTCCGTTCTTTAAAAAACTGGTCTTAAAAGTGGGGTGGTCTTAAATCCGAGGTGGTCTTTAGTAGGGATTCTACTGTATAAGCAAATGGTGTAAATTAAACAACATGGCAATAAATCCGAAAAAGACCACTTGTATGATAATAGGGTCAGAAAATAAATTAAAATCAAAACCTTCTTTAGATATAAATATAGAAGGTACATGCCTAAGTCAAACAAAATCACAGAAATTATTAGGTATTTACTTAGATGAAAACTTAAAATGGAATGTTCAAATAAAGCACGTCTGTAATAAATTACAAAAACAAATTGCTCTCTTAAATCGTATATCGTACTTTTTATCCGCTGAAATGAAAGAAATGTTTTACAATGCTTATATTTTACCTTGTTTTGATTATTGTTGTATTATATGGAGTACTTGTAATAAAACTGAATTTGGAAAAGTGAATAAACTGCAGAAACGTCTAGCAAATGTATTATTGTGTAAACCAGTTAAAACGCCTTCATTACAGCTTTTCCTTAAATTAAACTGGTTGACTTTCGAAAATAGATGCACGTATCATACAGCATTATTAGTATTTAAATCTATACAAGGATTGACTCCTTCCTACATTTCAGATATCATAGTGTTTTCGAAAAATCAAACGTATACACTTAGATCAACTACAAATAGAAACAAAATACATGTAAGATCTAATACGAAATATGTTAAAAGAACTTTTAGAAATAATGCAATGCAAGTATGGAATAATTTACCTTTATATATTAAAGAGTCTTCGTCTCTATATGCTTTTAAAAGAAATATGAAAAAGTATTTGATTGATATACAATTTAAATGAATCTGATGTATGCATGTGTCTGTCAATTTGAATGGTTGTTGTTTATGTTGTTTTTAATATGTGTGTACATATTTGCGACTTTCATTATCTTGTTTAATTGAAGGCCATATTGTCAATAAGATTTGTATTTCTTAATATGTTACCTTCATGAAATAAAGTGTTTATTATTATAATTATTATTATTATTATTATTATGTTTGTTTACGACTGTTACAATAGGGCAAATGACGCCATATTTTCTAGTGACGTTTGGAATACGTACACACACTTTTCCCTGAATTTTAACGTTAATATGTAGTGTTTAAAGAATACCGTGATGCCATTCGGAACTGCCTCGGCCATTATCTACAATATTGACCTCGGAAACAATACGGATTGAAAGTAGTTCTACCACGTGGTTTCAGATGTAAACAGAAACAGACATAATGTAAAACGAATGTATATATTTGACATCTAATGCCTGTTCCGGTTCTCTTTTGCTTGAAAATATGTCTGACAACAATTTGTAATTTAAATATGCCCATTGATGTTCAATTTTAAACAAATCCGACGAAATGTCAACAGGTTGGTTTTTTGTACTTTCGGTTTCTACAACCATGATAATAAATATATAAATAATGAATTGTTTGCTTTGGTACCTATGATATTACTTATTTTAGATGAACTTTAACAACATATATTGGAAATAAACTTGTAAACAACTCCCAGCATTAAATTACTATTTGTTTACATGTTTAGTTTCTTAGCGTAGGTGAGACCGAAATACCGCATCCGTTCTGTGTATTCATACTATTGTGTTCGAGGTCCTTATCCGAAGACTGACGGAAAGGGCCGAGTAGTTGCGATTGCCGTGATGCATCAAAGTAATGAACTAACCCATTTTTTTTGTCGAGCGCCGGTATTACGTTACCAATGTAACTGTATGACGATTCGTTTTCAGGACATGCCGGTTACATGTTTTTTCTTTTGTTATCTTATTTAAGTTATATCTCCCCTTCAAGTGATATATAATAAATGTTTTTCTATCAATATCTCACACGACAATAACTGCAGTGCATGAATTTTTTGGACAACCCTCGTATCACTTTGAATAAATATATATCTTAATTTATAATTCTCGGGCCTGATAATTATAAAGTCGGAGAGAGATACAAAAAAAGAAAAGTAAACGCATGACAACTTATGTCTCGCGCGATTAAGGTAAAATATAAAAGTTAATTTTTGAAATTCATTCGGCGACTGAAAACCAGACGAGGGTTCAGTGTATTAAAACAAATATCTTTTTATAATACCACACACTGAAATCATCCAAGTCATGCAAACCAAACAAATTAAAATAGTACTATAAGACGACAAAACGTCGAATGAATCATAGTTTGTGTAATCTTACTGACGTACCGTTGGTTTCCCGACAAGGATTCAAAGCGGTTGTGTCACCATCTGAGCATGCACATTTGTAATCTTTTCCGGAAACAGGTAAACATAGATGGCTGCACGTGCTTTGTAAACATTTGCTGAAAACTAAAGAAAATAAATCACTTAACACATATCATCTTCACATAATGAATCAAATGTCATTTCCTTTATGGCATTGGACTTAATGCAAAAAAGCATCATGAAGAAATGTGAACTTTTGTTTGAATATAATACTTAACAAATTTACACGATTCGTAATGTTATACATGTATACTGAATTAGAATCTCTGGCAAAACAGTCATGTTGTCTTCATTTCTTACATATCAGACTAGATTTTCATCATAAAGTCGGTGCACCATCAAGGTGCATGAGAGTAAGACTATGAAATTTTAATTACTTTTTAATACCAGTGAATCAAAATTAGCATACATAACAAAATATTCCATAACCATTTTAATCACGTAAAAATACTGACGCGTTTTATGATATTGAAATAATGTATGTAAAAAAGAAACACTACAGTGTCAGGCATGAATTTTTCTTTACTGCATTCAAATTTGAATTTGCATTATGCTATGAATCATAGACATAGGCATGCTATTCCCCAAGGATAAAACAATGACCAAAAATGTTTTAAATAATAAAATTAGAGATAATTAGTTTGAATTGAGTCTTTGTAAATACTCGTATTGATGAGAGAATCTCATTATCTATGTAACTTATTTACATCTTGTCTAGAAGAGGGATTCGACTCATTCGAAACAAAACTCGTGAACGTCCGGTCCATTTCGTTAATGTATTACTGAAAGCTTTTAAATATATCAGATATTGAAATCTACTTGTTCATTAACAAACATTCTTTAAAAGTTGGCCTGGATGTTTAAATCATTAACTCTGATTTTACATGATTGGCACCTGCTGATCAATTTTGGACTTGTCAATTATTAATTAAGGTCCGTGACTTCAAAACTATCAAATTACCTGTTTTAATATCAGTTTTCTTATAACTAGTAATTCCAGTTAACCAGGAAAAGTTTGAAGGTCCAACTTGGTCCAGTTCCCCGTCATCTACACTTAATCTGCTTACATGGCTAAATTAGAAAAAGGCATTCACATATTTATTATAAATTAATGATTTTATAAAATGGCCGTTTTCGCCTGGCGGCCCGGGTCATACATGCAAATAACTGTTAACATATATCCATAAAACCTGTTCAAAGTTTGTGTGACTATAAAGTGACATGAACGTGTTGTTGAATCATGGAAATAGTTATGGTAATGTTACATAAACACTCTGTTAGAGGTCCCATACAAATATAGAAATTAAATTAAATATAAAATGGCTTTTACATTATATACCGGTGACATGAACCTTTATTGTAGGTGAAAGAAGTGCGATTTCAAATACTTAACAAATCATAAACAAATAAAATACCAATAATAGCTTCATTCATCTTTGCTAAGAAACACAGTTATTCTATTAACTGAAACTGTCCCTTCATATGATTATAAGTGTTTCTTTTCTTCTTTTTCTTTGTTTCTTCTGTTGATACATTTTTAATTCTTACAGCATGTTTCACAATATAGGACTTCATTCATTTAACAATGAAATTCTATATTCAATATGATAAAATAATTAATAATAAATACGTTCTTTACATAGCAACATCCTTTTGACATAAATATTTTTTTTGAAACAGGTGTTCTTCAGGTTTAATTGCTTTACAGACGGTTGCTTTGAGAAGGTTGTGCTGTACTTACTTGCCTTCTGGGAAGTAAAGTTTATCTCCAACAAGCGTCATGCCATAGGTAAGCCCGTAATGATATTTTCTCTGTATCGAGCCCAATTTTGTCTTTACCCTTGTATCAATGTTGATCCGTCCAATAACGCCATTTATATTGTCCATCCAAAATAAATTCATACCTGAAATAAGCAGATAGAAGACAATGACAACATCATATACGTCATAACTAATATGTCATTACTAACTTCGTAGGACTCTGACAGTTTGGCATTTCCAACGTCTGGTGGTGAATCGACATATGGCTCTCTATTTGTTTCGAATGAGACGGCACAGACAGATTTGAACTCAACAACTGGCTATTATTAATAATATCTTATCCAAAAATGACGGAATGGGCCAAGAAGATGCGAATGACGTGTGTCTTAAATAAAAGTTCATTGAACACAAATCGTTCTCTCTGAATATAATCATTACAAATAAGAGTCTTACATTGGGGAACAAAAATTAAATAAAAGCTAGTTGCGCATTATTTATGCGCCGAGGACTTAAAAGTCCTGAGATAACATGTATGACGTGTTAGATTAAAATTACATTAAAATCAATAAATACTACAAAAGTCTTACTGTAACATGTTTGAGGAAAATCGCCAGTTAGCTGGGGGCTGACATTTTAAAAAATCTTGACTATAAATGAGCAATTATTAAATTTCAGGACGCTTTTGAAAAAAAAAACGTATAATAAAGCGCCAACGTAATTCAGACTTTTGAAGAAGACGCCATAGTCTTCTTTCCTAAATTACACTTCCGGTAGAAGTATGATGTTGACAATCAGTAGATAAATATTACAATCATTGATAAATAACTGAAGTAACGATGATTCACTTAACAAAATACTTTTTAACAGACATTTTATTTAATTATCTCGTTTAATTAAGGTAAAACAACCATTCTGATTAAGAGATCAACAAATATGGCGGACAAGATATTCGGAGACACTTGGAATTCTTCGATGACAAGTTAAAACCATTAATTCAGTCCAATCAAATTAACGGAACAAAATTCTTACTCATGATTTATGACAAAGTACGAGGCAGATCTGGTTAATGAATTGAAAACTTTATGTTTGTTGTACAATCATAAGGGCTTTCTGAGTCATTGGTAGCACCTTATTTCATATTATTTACGTATACGTGCGTATTTATTACGTATTTAAAATCTGATGTTATGATGTTCATGGAAGTATCTATGCTGCCAGGAAAATTTTAATTATGCCACGTGGCCTCTAAAGCTAGATATATCACATCGTCGCCTTATTTTCAGAGTAACGTAACAGTGTTTGGTATCATTTCTCCAGCTCGTCTAGCTCTATTTGTTTCCATGGATGACGCATTTAATTTTTTTAATTTTAATTCCATAATGACGCATGACCGATTGTTGGCTACCAAATGAGTGACGTTAAAAATTACCCAGCACATAATTGTATTTTGTCGCCACCTTGATTTTACAGTATAGCTATAGAAGGATTTTTTCAACAAATTTGCAATACACGTATGTAACATAAATAATGTTCATTTTTTTTCTCCAAGGTTTTGACAAAAATGTTTTTTTTCAAGGCGTTGACAGAATGCAATTTGTTTCCTTCAAAGTTTCAAGGCTTCAAGGAATGTTTAATTTTTTAAGACTTCGAGAGAATGTCCTTTTTCTTGTTTTTGAGAATAGTAGTGTACTTTTACTGCTATCTCAGTTAAAATCCTTATGTATCCATTTAAAAATATTTTTCTGTGAGTTTGTTTTGATTATGTTTCAGGTGTTTCATTATTTATATACCCAGAAAATCCCCCTCAAGATTAACATGTACAGAAATATCGTTAATATAGAATATAATATCGGCTGTCATGCCCTTATGAAATATAGGTGTGACTTATGTGAAGAGATGAAAGAAGCTAATCTGAAAATCAGGCCATATGGCATGAAGCTATATGTGGAGCAGGAGCAAACGATATTACTAGTGCAGTGGTTACAATTCTCAAAAATATTAAATGTGCCTATCCTTCAATCATTTATATTATGGTATGATACATGCGTGCCCTTGATTAAAAACTGTGATGAAAAATTTAATGAATGACTGTAATATTGAATTGATTATACAAAGATGTGGTGCCCTGGACATTCTATGCGTACATTAAGTGAATAATGTCACAGTAATATTGAACGGGTTACACGGTATTCAGAATATATAGTCCAATCGGACTGATAAGTGTCTTGAAATTGATGCGTCGAAGAAGCCCAATTCGAATTATTCAAAAGCAGAATCACAATTTTGTAGACTACCAAAGATGCATTTTTGCCATTAAAGTTTACCGAAATTCCCTTCAATTACCAAAGCAAAGTGCTTAAAATTAGAATTATGCCATTTCACATCGGATACAACCTTTTTATTAAGTGCATCTGAATTTAGAACATCTAGTATTAAATACAAACAAAGGTGCTATCAAAGCAACATAATATCGGCAATTTTTACCAAAACCTGAACTTAAAAATAAAAGCCAGTGAGATGAAACACTTACACTTAATTAGACTTTTTCCGAGTTCTTTTTGTGACAGTTATGTCATTTCAAATCGCATGTTTGTAGTTGATATTTTGAAAGAATTTTGTATGCCTTTAAATCCAGATATTGCAAACAACAATATTCTGTTATAATTTTTATTTTGATTATAAAAACTTTGAGGCAATTATATGTTGGAAAAAGTCAATTGACTTTATTGCAAAACCTGGCATGAACAGTCAGGTATTTCTTAATTGACAATTTACTTTACTGTAAAGTTAGAAACATTTGTTTGAATGGTGACAAACATTATTCAAGATAAAGGGTAATGAGAAGTTGGAAGATGGTAAGATTTTGTTCTGATTGTATATAGAGCTCTTAGTCTTATTGTAGTCTAAGTTCACACATGACTAACATTGTTAGATTTTATATCAGTTTCTTGTATTCTTTGTTTCAGATTATTATGGCAATTAGCCTTAAAATAAAATAAAATACTTGTGTAATCGAAACTCTTTTGTTTGATTTTCAATATCAATTTTCTCCAATGATTATGATGTATTGGTCGATAAGAGATGATTTAGATCATTGCTGCATCATGTTTGTTGGAGCTATAAAAACAAGAATAAAGATCAACAAGGTAAAGGCAACGTTCACAGGACGCATCCCCCCGAGACACCCAAGCATGGCATTCAGAAGACACCCAACACAAACCTGGAGTTGACATAAGGGCGGCGAAAGGAGAGGGACATGTAATGGTTGAAATAATATGAACTAAAACGGGCCCATATGGAAATTAAATGAATAAGGGCTGTAAGGGTGAAAAGGGGAGGTGGTAAAATATGGGAGGGGGAGTGGGAAAATACCTAAAGTAAACGACGATGTAACAAAGCAGACATCACAAAACATGTAAACATTCAAATACAAGTAACAAAACAGACATGAAATACACGTGAAGGAACACAGAGGGGTAAAGCCTTAGAACAGTCAGTGGTAGTAAACCACTGGGGTGTTTAAACCAGTTTGAGGCGCGCCAAACCTCGCTCTTAGTCCTTATATATTCCTAAATGACACGAAAGTGTAAGTAAAAATAATCCCCGCCAAGTGATTTTCTTACAATAGTCATGGTTACATTAGACGAAATAAATAAAAACAAAAGATTGTGTAAATAATTATGTAGAAAAAGGTACGAGCTAATAACTATCACCTAAGTACTCGTATAAACCCGTTAATTTATTCGGGTTGTAGCCGAAATCTTTAACCAAACAATAACAATACACTTTATTCAGCTTTAAACATACAAACTTCGTCACAGTAGCATTCAAGACAAAAACATAAAAAATTGTTTACACAGGATATTAACTGTTGGCAATTCATAATAATGCTTGTGACTTCATTTATAATAGTTCATCGAGCAATAATTACAATCATTATTACGTACAAGGTTGAATTTTTAATCATTTGTAGGTAAAAAATGTAAAAAAACATTCGTGATAAGGTATGATACCTTATTTACAATCAAGCATTTAGCAAACATTGACACATCACATATTTGTGAATGAATGTTTAAATAAACAATACGTTTAAATTTTTTTTCTAGAATTATTCATATCGCTATACAGTGACTGATAAAAGGCTTCGAATAATCGTTGTTTGATTTGTAAAATCGATATATTGTCAACAATATCGTTTTTGAACGTCCAAAAGTAATTATGCCCAATTTCCTGTCCAGAGGGATGTGACTTGATGTGTCACTGTTGAAATTTTTTTTGTATTATCTTCATCTCAGCTTACTTTTCGACAAAAATTGATTTTTAATTTGTTAAATATAAATAAAACTATTTTGTTTACAAATATGCAAATTATAATGAATGCACAACGTATCAAATATAAACTTTATCTAAAATCCCAGATAAATCCATACATTAACAGAATAATTACAATATCTAAAACTTTGAACCTCTTTTTCTCAAAATAATAAAAATGCAAGTTATATTAGTCTGACAAAAGCGGTTAATTAGTAATACCTGAGAATTCATTTTGTTCTAAATAGTTAGCTATACGGAAAAATATGAGCAGTGCATACAGTTCAGTCATTAATCGAGATTTTGAAAGAATTGCGTACGCCCCGATTTTTTCTTAAATACTGTGTTTCCAATTAATACGTAAAACGTCCGAGCGGGGACACAGGTCCAGCTCTTAGATAACATGTATAACGTGTATTTGTTTTATTGAAACATATAAGAATCAAAAGAAAATGCATGTTTAAGTATCTTACAAGTTTGAGAAAAATCCTTAGTCAGCAAAGCGACGGCATTTTGATAGTCTTTAACTGGTTCTTTATTTGACCTATTATTAGATTACAGGATACTTTTAAGAATATAACAAAAGGGACTACACATTATAGACTTTTGCAAGAGAACCCCATAGTCTTCTTTCCTACGTTACACTTCCGATAGAACTCTGATATAGAAAATCAGTAAATTTTATAATCACTGATAAGAATTAATGTAATGATGATGAACTTAAAAAGTTTTAATATCCATTTTGATACATCATCACATTTAAAAAAGAGAGGATAAAACGACTCTGTTAAGAGATTAACAAAAATAGCGGATCCTGTCCTATTATGGTTCGAATCCAAGACTTAAAGTACGCAGGGGACAAGTCTAGCGGATACCCTCTGAACACGTTAATGTTAGGTTGAACACCACCAATTATTTCATATTTATTTAACGGTTCAAAATTATCTGCAATTACTTAATCACTTACAAATTTCTGGAAATATCTAATTTGTATATTGCCAATTATGTTTGTTATTAAATAACAAGGTCTTTCCGAGTTAAAGGTAGCACCTTATTTCATAATTTCATATTATAGCATTACAATATATTTTAGGATGTTGTTGTTTAATAAATAAAACAAGTAAATAACAATACTTTTTCACGATACAATTAGCTTGAAACACTAAAAACTGTATGGGTTTTTAATTTTGTATGTTTTTTTTTTTTTTCTTTTACAAAACACGATTCTTTACAAACATATGCAATTCCAAAAAACATGAAAAAATGGCATCAAGTGTTTCCTGTAGAATGACTAGCACAAAGGCAATATCGAATTCGTTATCGTATAATTAAATACTTAAACATTCATTATGAGTATTTCGCATGGCTATACTTACATGTACAATCAATACAAAATACAATGTACTTACTCTTCACATCTAAAGCAAGAGCTATAGGAGTTGAATACGGTTCAAACGACATAATGATACTTCTGTTACCACCGTCCATGGTTGATGTCTCTATCCTTGGCTTATTGCCAATGTCTGACCAGTATATTGCTCTTTGGAGGAAAAAATATGTGAAGAGGTTTTAAAACTTTCCCGTTTATTTGATTAATCATAAACTTACTAGTGGCAACTAATTCTGACGATGCGACCAGTGCAGTTCAAGATCAGTCGGCACAGCTGTGCTGTCTGATCTTGGTCTGAAATGTTCGCAATTCAGTAAGTACATAATTTGGAA